ATATATTGGCTGAAACTGGAAAAAGCTATTACTTGGCTCCAGCAGGCGAGATAGCCTCCGGCGATAAAGCAAAGAGCCCATTTCTAAATTTCACAAATCCAAATTATGTTTGAGATGGTTCGGGGAAAATAAAAGAAAATCAATTGAAAATCGACATAACGACCATTGTGTATGAATCGGAAAAATTGGAAATGGGAGAGAATTTAGAGTTGAGGAGGAGGCGAAGAATTTGGCGGCGGTAATGGCGGGCCTTTCCCCACGCAGATGCGATTACGTCCGGTGTGTGTTGTCGCTCAGTTTGCCGTCTATTGTTCAAGAATAACTTAATTGCATTTTGGTCCTCGTAATTACTCCGGATCCGGACTTGGTCCGATCCTAATTTAGGGTTGAATATGGGACTCAGAGAATTTCGAACCATTTCGAAAACGAAACCGAAAAATAACTATTGATCGTTTGACTTTCTTCGAACCGAACTGAACTGGACCGAAATAATTGGTACGGTTCTGGAGATTCCATAAATACCCATACCGAGAACCGAACCGAACTGTCTCATACCGTACCGAATCGAAGAACCGAATTACAAAAACAGATGTGTGTTTTTAATATATTTTATGTCAACTTTGATTCTATATAATTTGAAAATTTTTAAAATACAAATAAAATATAGTAATAACAATTAAGATTCACTTAAATTTCATGTTTAGTAATACTTGATCTACAATTGAATTTCTCCTGTTTTAAAAGAGAAGAGAATATATATATATATATATATAGGGTCGCACTCCGGTGAGAATAGTGCCCAAGGTGAGAAATAAGAATACATCATGACCATCGGATTGAAATAACTAACGGAAGAAACCAGCTCATTCACGCACAACTAGAAGGGGTAATTGTGTAATTGACATTACACAATTAACACGCCTCCTTCCCCCACAGCTATCATAAATTCGCGAAAAAATCAGACAGACGAAAAAAGGAACGAAAATCCCGAAGCTCAGGATCAATCGATCTGCCAATTGATTGAGGCGACGACAATATACATGGATGCCTGTGAATCAACTCAAATCGAGCGGCGTCTGAATAAATTAATTGTTGCCTTTTTGTTGTTTTCTTTTTTTTTTCGTGTTATTTTTGTTATCTCTATAGCTGTCGTGATCTATCGATTATACAGTATAAATGAGTGGATTATTGATGCTATGTTCGATTCAGGATTTTTACAGAATTGCGCTCATGGAAAATCCATAAACACTGACGAAGCACGAGGTACTATGGATTAATTATAGCTGTCTTGTTTATATTTTAGTCTTAATTAGTGTTTGAGTGTTTATATCATGTGATTTAAGCATTATTGAAAGACTGATGTATATGTGAATATTGAATATAATGCATGTAAAAAAATAGTGTTGTGCATGTTTATGCAAACAGTTGTGCATGAGTTCTCACGTAATTGTGCATATACAATTACTAGTCGTGCTTTGTTGCTGATTTGTTCATCTACGTTTTGTATATTGCAGCTACACTTCAAAAATCAACGCCTCTGCAACACTGTCTAGTCGTCACCCCAGGTGGTACTAAATATTGGATACCACAGTGCAATGATGCAATCGTGCCTCACAGAGGACAGAAATTTGATGGGCTCAACGAAGCTGTCACTTTCTATCGTGCCTATGCGTCTACAGTCGGGTTTGACGTTAGGCAAAGCACATTGTTGAAAGCAAAAGATAAGACTGTGGTTTGGAAATACTTGGTGTGTTCACAACAAGGCTACAAAAATCAGTCCAACACGGTCCAAACAGTGCATCCAAGGAGACGCAGGGTGTCTAATCGAGTGGGATGTAATGCCCGGATTGTGCTGCGAGTTGATGGGTCTGGTAGCTACGTCGTTCATTTGTTCGAAGAAAGGCATACTTATCCAATGATACCTGACGAATGCAATTCCCGATTAAATGTAAATCGAACAATGACAGCCGCACATCAGAGCTTTGTACTAAACTGCATAAAAGCCAACATTAGGCCTATCAAGTCGTACAAGCTGTACAAAGACATTGTTGGGGGCTATTCTAATGTTGGCGCAACTGGTGTGGAATTCAGAAACTTCAAGCGAGATCTCATGGGGTACATTTCAGGCGCTGATGCACAGTTGGTTACAGAGAAGTTCTATAAACAGCAGGAGAATAGCTCGGCATTCTTTTTCATTATGACCTTGACGAAAACGATTGTCTACATAGACTTTTCTGGGCTGATCCGGCATCAAGAAGGAATTATGGGTCTTTTGGGGATGTTGTGTCATTTGATGCAACATATCGCACAAACAGATAAAAACAATAAAACACCTTGATTAACTTAGTGTTACAGTATTGCACAGCAATGTCATTTTCACAGCACATTACATTATATTTACTTGCACAACATATGCAGCACAATTCATGCAGCGTGATGTTGTTGTTAATTGTAGATACAATATGGTGTTTGCACCATTCACCGGCATAGACAATCACGGGAAGTGCGTAACGTTTGCATCCGCGTTGATATCGAGAGAAGACGTTAATTCTTACGTATGGGTCTTCGAAAGCTTCAAAAGTGCAATGATTCAAGAACCAAAATACATAGTCACCGATCAAGATCCATCGACTGGAATCGCCTTCTCTAAGGTATTCACGAGCAGCAAGCACCGCTTTTGCATGTGGCATATCATGAATAAGTTATGTGATAAAATCGGATATTCTCTAATTAATGATAGCAATTTCAAACGGAGGCTTAACGAAATTGTTTGGAGCCGACACATTGAACCTGACGAGTTTGAATCTAAATAGAATGCAATCACGTGTGAGTTTAAATTGGACAATCATAATTGGTTCATTGATTTGTTTGCTAAGAGGGAGTTGTTGTAGCAAAATATATTTTTACCGAGTACCGAATCGAAAGATTCGTTTCCCGGGTCGATCTCTCAAGGAAGGTTAGCCGGATATAATTGTTCGATTATTCAACCACAAAAGAAGATAAAAATCCTAAACACTCTATTTCAATGATTTGGGTTTTGATTATCAACTACCAACTGTAAATTAAATAGAGCACGAAATGAACAGTCACGAATTAACTGAGAATTTAAAGAGCTAGGGAATCGGGGACAACTGCTTTCGGTTCTTACACAACTACCGGCAATCAATTGCTCGGTTAAAGGAAATGAATCGTCTATCGTTTAGAGGTTCACTCTCAATAACTCTTCGTAACAAGAGAGTGAACATATACGATTGACTATCAAAGCCAGCAACTCATAGACAATACTTTGACGAACAAGTCTATTCTAAACGAGCCTAAGTCGACCAATGTCTCCCCTTTCGGTTCTAAACAATGATTTACTAGGTTATATAGGTGATCAATCTATTAACCTTAAATTGAACTCAACTCGCATAGATATGAACAATTAAGAACAAGCAATTATAATTGAACCTAATCAATTATCCCCTATCCCTAGCAGAT